TCCCCTCCACCCTGCTCCTCCCCCCCCTCCCCATGGTTGTTATTTTCTCCTGGATCCAATAAATTAAAAATTGATGGCAGCTCAGAAAGTGTTGTGCTCCGTCGAGTGTGCGTGTTGGTGGCGTTTCAGTGTCGCCCGGAGTCTCAGCCCCTCCCTGAATGGTCTCGGGAGGAGATGAAAAGATCTCTTCGTAGATTATTGGTAAGCATGGGCTTGCTGGCAGAAGCTCATCTTCGTAGGAAGCAGGTGTAAAGTCTCCAGTCGGATGGCAGGGCTCGAGCGGGTGGATGCTGAACCTTTCTTGTAAACATGCGTACACATCATGATGGTGGCTGTGACGTTGGTGGTACATGCTTTTAAGAGCCTGGCAGCCTTCCTCCAACATCCTTTACGCCACCCACCCCCCGTCACGGAAACGATATTCTGCATATGCTTCTCCCGGAATGTGGTTTAGCCATTAAAGATGAGAGATTTGAATTGATACAGGGTGAGGGGGAACAGGAACCCATGTGCTGTGTATGTTGCACGCACGTGGGTGCTGTGTATGCAGTGGCGCACTCGGGTGTGTGCATGCAACCACGCACAGGCCCTGTGCTCTGGGGACAGCAGGTGGCCGACCTCGCAGCTGGAATTCCCCAAAGGGCAGGTGCAGGGAGGCAGTTCGAGATGACCCAGGCCGGGTGGGGCTCTTGGAGGCCTGGATGGGCAGGGGACTCACTGGCCAGGTGAGGCCCTGCTGAGCCACTGCAGGGCTGTTGTTGGCTGCTTGGCTGGACCAGTGCTCACAGTGTCTTTCCACTTCTGTCTTTTGCCCCAAATTCCTTCCCAGCCACGCTGAGGCCTGGGGAAGTTTGTCTTAGGACCCAGTGCTTGCTCCTTCACTTAACAACGATGTCCATTATTATTTGTGAAGCCTGATTTCATTGCTTCTAAATGCATTTACCAGCTGGGAGGAGGCCCAGCCTTGTAAATAAAATGCGGTTTTGTTGTAAAAGAAAATCTGACTGTGTGTGTGTGTGTGTGTGTGTGTGTGTGTGTGTGTGTAAATATACATTTGTCCATGTACTTTAGAATTCAGCATTTCAGAGTCTCCCCAGCTCTCTGATATCTGACATTTGAACAAGTTGCCGGCTGAATCCATTCATGTTTCCTCTTAATGAGTCAAACATTTTAGCAATTACACTACTTTATTCAACTCATAATATATTGAGAGCAGCAATATTTTGCATGGCTGCCTGACACTTGGGGAGCTTTTCACCAAAGCAGAAATCATCTCAGAGGAAAGCCTCATCTTGGCTTTATTTTTTTTAAGGCCCGAGTTTTCCGGACAAGGCCTCGTGGGGCTGGTTTGAAGGGTTTGGGGATTCGAAGGGCTTTTTTTTTTTTTAAATCAGTCTTTTCTCTTTCCTGGTGCTTTTTTGTCTCTGGGTGGCAGGTCGATGACTGCCTGTCGGAGCAGAGGCCTGGTTCTCTGAGGCTGTGCAGAGCCTGGAGACTCAGCTATCCACAGGGCAGAGAAAGAGGCTCCCCACCCCGACCTTCTCAGGGCTTGGCCAAGTGGCTCTTTCTCCTTTTATTTCTTCCTTTGTCGATACAGTTCTAAGAAAGGACACACACACACAGACACACACACACAGGCACCCTACACTCCCAGCTCCGGTATCCGCCTGCCAGCGGAAATGAAACCACCGTCTTTGGGGTTGTCTCCGAAGGTCTTGAATGTGAGCTTTTAGGCCCAGCAAGCTTTCTTGGTCCACTTGGTCCTTGGTTGGGGGCTCGGGGTGACTCTGCTGTCTGAGCGCAGAGGGGGGGGCAACTTTACCACCTTCCTGAGAGTGTCACACATAGCCAGCCAAGGCTTAGAAAGCCCCACGACCCCGGGGGGTGGGGAGAGGAAACCCTATTCTCTGGAGTTAGTGGGGTGAACACCCTGTCATCTCAGGGAGTTTTACTTTCAAGCTCCAAGTGGGAGGGAAGAACTTTTTTTCTTTTTTCTGGTTTCTTTTCCTCACACATGCCCTGCGAGACTGAATTGATGGCTGGTCTGAGAGGTGGAGACCTTGGTTCGGAGCTGAGCCCTGGATAATCCTGGGGCTGTCTGCCGGACGCCAGCAGAACCTGGCTCCCTGGCTGGTTGGCTGCGAGGGATCTGATGCAGAAATCAGAACTGCAGCACAGCACACGGCTTTGGACACCTTCAGACTCAATTATGGGGACTCCCAGGGCTGCTGCATAAGGAAAGTGAAAAGGCAGAGACTGCCAAAAAAAAAAAAAAAAAAAAAAGGAAAGAATACCAGATGTTACCAAAAATAAAAACTATTAAAAAAAAAAAGGAGAAAAAAAGAAAAAGCACGGGTGCAGAGTCTTGGCTCAAGGGGGAACCGGGAGAGACAGGGATGCTTGTGAACAAGCATCTGTGACCTTTGCTAATTTTTCAATCAGGCTGTGTTTCTTTTGAATTAGAAAGTGAATTTGAAATTATGTAGCTTATGACCTGGCGGAGAGGAGGTATTGGTACTTGCTAGAACTCCTATCCAGGAGGGCGGACGTGGCTGGAAAAGTTAATAAAAACAAAAACAAAAAAGTAAACCAGAGATTAAATTAATGCCCCCCACCCCGGAAAGGACGATCAAGCTGGGCATGTGAATTTGCTGTTGCTCGTGGTTTTTTTTTTTTTTTTTTTTTTTTTAAATACCCAGTGTGCTGTTGATGCAGACGTCTGCCAGGCCTGCCCAGGGTGGCATGTATAATGGTACCAGGTACGGCACCTTGCCCGTTTCTTTTGAATTCTCCATTTCATTATGTCCTTTTCTGCTTTTTAAGCTCGTTTCCTTTGTGCCTCTCTCTCTCTCTCTCTCTCTTTTTTAACAAAACAATATTTTGACATCCTTCTCCCATTTATTAGCGCTCCTTCTCAAAAAATGGCGCACAATACATCCTTATATTTCTAAAGAAGTGTTTTTACAACCCTCTCCTTTGGCTCTGAAATTATGTATATGTAATTGGTAATTAAAGGTGCGAGCTTTTCAATATAAATAGTATTGCTCAATGTTAGATCATTAAAGGGAAAAAAGAGGTACCAAATAATTACCTTTTACATCCTGACAAACCGTTCACAGGAACCCACTTCTCGCTGGAACCAATGTGCAGAGGGGAGGCTGTGATTACATTTGAACCCTAGCAAGGCATCTTTTCATAAAAATAAGTTGGTAAATTAATTACGCGGGCATTGTCTTCAAACTGCTTTTGAAGTAAACTCCGATTTTCTTTTTAAAAGTGTAATTGATGGTTTCTGGAATCGGCTTTTGTGAGGACCGTTCCTTTACCTCGTGGGCCCTTTTTGTTAGAGATAGGCAGACAGGCAGATTTCGGATTTCCTCCTCGATGGGGCGTTTTTTTGTGCTGCCACGGTTCTGACGCGTCTACATTGAATTCACCGGGGGCTCTGTCTGCTTCGCCGTCACCACAGGCGGGATCTCAGGTTGTGATTTCTCTTCTCAGCGATCACTGCGTCTCTCCTGTTCCACGCACCGTCCATACGTGGGCAGCCTACGTCACGTCTGGTACATTCTGCCTTGGGTCTTCCACGCGGCCACGCCTGGGCCCCCGGAGAAGCTTGTGTTCAGGAAACGCAGCACAGGGATTTACATGGAGGATGGAAGATGCCGCAGAATTTTTTCCTGAAATTATCTGTTCTTTGGCTCTGGCCCTTCAGTAACTTCACTACCACGGAATGTTTTTTTCCTCCCTTCCTCCCTTCTCGCTGTTCCTCTGTGGTTTGCACGATCCTTTCTCAAATGCCATGCAACTGGAAAATATACCTGCCTCCTCAGGTTTCGGACCTCTGGCTGCCCCCTGGCTTTCCCGAAGACCCCGCCACTCCTGCCTCCTAGATGATCACTCCCATTTTGCTCTTGGAAAACCCCAGCCTGAGTTTGCTCACACCCGGAGGGGAATCCGTCTTGTCCACTTGTCTTAATTTAGGACATTTTTGGCTGCTGAGTCTTCCCATGTTCCCTTGTGGGAGTTGGGGAGGTGGTTGCTGTTTTGGAGGCATTTATTAGCTTCACACTATGTGGGTCCTATGTCCCTTACCAAAAAATAATTACAAAATAAATTTTAAAAAAAGGGACTTTACCAGCCGCTTGAGAAATATAAAAACATACAGCCCCTTGAAAGTGTGGTTTGACATGCTTTGAGAGTCTGGAGAATTTTTTTTTTTTCCTCTTTCTTTTTCTGGGAGTGAAAATAAAATCGACACATAAAAAAGGGACAGTGGGAAGCTGATGAGTGTTGGGAAATCTGTAAAGACATGGAAGTCTGACCAGGCCCGGGCGTTGGCAGGAAGGCTTTCCCCCCTTTTGCAAGCCGGCCCAGACGCCTGCTGGTGCTTTTGTTTTTCCCTTGTATCTTTTTTGGAACCTGACACTGACTTGTTGCTTTCCCAGCCTGTGGGCTTCTCTCTCTCTCTCTCCTAAGGGCTGCTTCTCCGACAGCCGGTCTGGGTTTCTGTTTTCTAGTTTGGTGACTGGCCAGGTCTCAGGTAGAGGAATGTGTGTAGACTCCCATGAATGGGGTGGCCATGAATGGAGGTGTGAGGGAAGGGAGGGGCCCGCGCTTGGGCCCACAGCAGGAAAGAACTCCGGTTCACTGGGTCTCCCTGGCTGTCCCTGTCCTGTCCTGTCTGCAACACCTGGGGCGTCTTAAGAGACACACTGATGTCCGGTTCTCCAAGTCATGGGTCAGAGGGTGCCGCCTGGCCATCGGGATTTTCCAGAGCCCTCCCAGGTGGTTCTCAGACACTGCAAAGCTGGAAAGATACGCGGCTACCTGGCTCCGTTAACCGCCCGTGTGTGCGTGTGTGTGCGTGTGCGTGTGCGCACGTGTGCGTGTGTGTGTCTCCATATGCTATGTTGGGGAAATTGACCAGAAAAGAGAATGCAGTAAGATCGGCCCTATTGACGTGAGGCTCCCAGAGCCTCAGTGTCCCCGTCTGTCCCATGCGGCTGGTGAGACCCCAGCTCTGGGCGGAACTGGCGAGCTCCGGCAGCCAGCCGGCCTCAGAGGCGCTGCCTCTCGGTGGGGAAGGGTTGGAACGATGCCGGGTGCCTTGATCACCTAAGTCCATCTCTGTCTTCTCTACCCCTCCCCTTTCTCCTTTCTGTCTCCAGCAGAGGCTGACCATGTGGAGGCCGCCATCCTCGAAGAAGACGGGGGTCTGGAGATAGAGGAGCCGAGCGGCCTGGGGCTGCTGGTGGGTGGCTCCGACCCTGACCTCCTCACCTGTGGCCAGTGTCAGATGAACTTCCCCTTGGGGGACATCCTGGTTTTTATAGAGCACAAGAGGAAGCAGTGTGGTGGCAGCTTGGGTGCCTGCTATGACAAGGGCCTGGACAAGGGCAGCCCGCCGCCCTCCTCACGCTCCGAGCTCAGGAAAGTGTCCGAGCCGGTGGAGATCGGAATCCAGGTCACCCCAGACGAAGATGACCACCTGCTCTCGCCCACGAAAGGCATCTGCCCCAAGCAGGAGAACATTGCAGGTACGGGATGCCACGCTCGCCCGGTCGCTGCTGAAGCCACCTCCCGCGTCCCCGTGCCCTCTGTCTGAGGGTGTTGGTGCGGGGGCCGGCCGGGGGGCCGCCAGCTGGGCCATCCAGGAGGCCTTCGGGGGAGACAGGCCTGGCGCTTGGAGAGGCCAGAATGGCTGACAGTTGCTTGGCTTTTGATGAGGGGGCTCTGTCTCGGAGCCGAACCCAGACGTGGCCAAGGGCCTAGGATGGACGTTTGGAAGTCTAGTTGGCCTTCTCTTTGCTACTGGTCTCGGCTTAGACCCTGGTTTTGAAGCCAGACGGTCTTGGGTTGGAATCTGTTCTTCATAATGTGGAGACGGCAGTTTCCCCATCTGGAAAATGGGGCTGAGGAGACCGACCTTGTAGGTTGCTGTGAGGATTAGGTAGATGTGTGTGGCGTGACCTGGGAGGCACTTAGGAATGGGAACGTTCATTTTCCACCACCCCTGGACTCAGTTTCCCATCTGCAAAAAGAGAGGTGAGGCCCCCCCTGATCTCAGGCTGCTTCTGATGTTGCTTGACCCTGGGGTGGGTCTCTGGAAGGGGTGTGGGAACTTGCTGGAGCACTGTGTCCCTTGGGGGAGGTTGGACAAGCCCTTTGGCATGCTTACTCAGCTGACCACCACCGGGGCAGCTGGTTCCACCACCCTGAAAACAGGTGTGGGCCCCTTGGCCCCCAGGCTTGGACCTGTGTCCTCCAATTCGGTCTGCTCATTGCAGAGAGCTTGTATTCGGTCCCTCTTTCCGGGCCATGGCTGGGGCATGCTGGAACATCCTGCAGGGAGCTGCTTTCTGTGCAGACCAGAGTGTTTTCTTCTGGTTTCTACTTCTGAGCCCAGGAGGACTGGGGGAGAAGGATGGCCTGGCTGGCCTGTGTTCCCTAAAAGCAGTGGTCGTGCAGATGAGAGTTCGAATCCTGCTGGTTGACTTTGAGCTCGCCACGCCATGGGTCTGAGCCTCAGTTTCTTCATCTGTCAACAGGAAGTCATAAAACTAGCAGGCCTGGTGTGAGGATCCAACAGGGCCTCCATAAATACTTAGCCAGTGGAACTTGCCTTATGGGGGATCACTGCAGTGTGCACATAGGATAGGTGTCTGGCTGGGGGAATGTACACACCGACCTCTGCCGCGTTAGGGTCCCGGAAGCTGGCTGAGGCTGTGTAGTTTCTAGTAGAGTGAGACGGTTGGGCCTAGGCAGGAACCCCCCATCACCCAAGATACGGGTCATAGTGACGCTGCATACCTGTCTCCCCCACATGACAGTTTTGTGGCTTTGGGCCACACTTGACTCACCTGTGTGCAAAGAGATTAGCGAGACTTCTCTTGTGGGGAGGCTGCAGTGGTGTGTGGATTCCTGCAGGCCCGTGCTGGGCCCTGGGGAGACCCCTGTGACCCGGACTAGCCTCTGGGTCTCACCTTTCGGTGGGTGCCCTGGCCCTGAGAAAAAGATCTGCTGTGTCCAGGCCCCAGCCATGGAGACACTGGCTCCCCAGAATACGGTACAGACCCCAGTGGTACCAACCCTCCTTTACTGGGCTGAGCCAACAGCAAGAGAGGTGCTGGGTCCCTCTGTCTGTGTTGTCCAGCGCTTGAGGCATGGTCTCCCCTGTGGGACACCAATGCCGGCATTAGTGCACACAGACCTTCCGGGGTGGCTGCTGCCAGGGAGACTCAGCCCCCCGATTTATGTTTCGATGGAAAGATTGGCTGCTTTTGCCAAAAACATCTGAATCCGCCTTTCACACGGAAGGTATTTCCCAATGAGGGGCTGCAGAACCGTTGTGGGCAGGTTTGTTTAAGAAAGCAACTTCATGGGATTTCATAAAAGGCAAAGTTAATCTCCACGGCAGCTTTGTCCACATCCTTCCCCACCCGGCCCCCCTGTTATTTTATTTTATTTTTTCGGGTCGTGATACTGCTGCAGCCTACAGTATTTTTATTTTATGTGTGACGAAAGATATTCGTGGCCTTTCTGTTCAGCCACAGGACGAATGGATTTCTTCATTCTGGAAGAAATATGTAAAATAATCCCTTAGAAGTCTAAAGAGATATGTTTGTTCAAAGCATTTAAAATGTTATTTTAATCAAAGGCACAAAACAGTCTACGTGCTGTGTCAGCTGAAGACGACCATTCCATTTTAACAGCACATCATGCGTCTCCCTTTCTAGTTCCATTTTTTCCCTATTTCTCTACCTTCTTGGGCTCCAACTTTTCTGTTTTTATTGAATAAAAAGGAAAGATTAAAGAATAAAACTTCAGTGGCTCCGATGTATAAAGAAATTTAATATGGTGGGAGCATTAATTATTTTAGCTTAATTGAATTCTGAGGACTGCAGTAGTTGCATTTTTGTAGACAAGCCCTGTTTATTATTTCTCTGTGTAGATTAACAGTAAAGGAGACACAGATAACTTTTAGTTATTTATTGTAAAATAAATGTGTCAATTCATGTGTAAAGCAAGCTGCTCAAAGATAATTGAGTCTTTATATTTTAAGAGGGGACCAGGAATCATGGGCGCTTCTGTGCCCAGGCTTCTGGAAAGTCATCCAGCCGCTGTCCACGCCCTTTGCCTCCTGGCCACAGCTCCGAGGGGTCCTCCCTCCCTTCCATGCTTGGCTGTGGTCTCCAGGGCCTCACTGGCTGTGGCCCGTAGCTGGTGAGCAGGTGGCCGTGCACTCTTGGGACTCTCTCTCTGGTTTTGACTGCCCAAGCTCGGTCTAGCCCAAGGTGGGGTGACTGTGAACATCCTGGTGGCCGCGAGGGACCTGCGTTTCCCGGAGCCAGCAATGCTCCTATTGCCCAGGCCGGTCCCAGCCTCTCCTTGCTTCCAGGTGCTTCTGGAGGCTGGGACTGCAGAGATTTCACAAAGGGATTTCTCCCACTCTTAAGGGAGTCCCCAGGGTGTAGAGCTGGTGTCATCGCACCAGGGTGTGGACCTGGTGTCAGCCCTTTCCTGGAACAGTCGTTCTGGAGATGGGTATAAAAGAAGCAGGTTCTCTTCCTTTTTTGATGGAGAATCAGGAAGGTGGAGGGAGGAAGTTTCTGGAGCTTTGTCTCCTGGAGGACATTCATGCATTCATTCATTCATTCATTTGGCAGCCGAGCCTCTGTGGCTCTCCCCAACCCTGGCCGTCCCCACCTGCTTCCTCAGGTGAAGAGTCGTCAGGGGAGGGAGAGGCAGTCCAGCATGAGGGACATGGCCAGAGACCTAGTAGCAACCCTGCCCTTGACATGTGCAGTCTGGATCTGGGACTCTCCACTCCTGAGTGTCCGCTGTGGGCAAAGGCGGTCCTCGGAGGCTTGTTGGGCGGCCTCTCTGGGGACAGGGGTAGAGCTGGTCAGAAGCTGGCACTCTGATTCAGGGCAGGTGCGGTGTCCTTGGCATATATGGGCATATACGTCCATCTGTAGGTGTCTTTATTTTTCTTGAATATAAAACCCTAACCGCCCTGCCTGTGGCATCCTTCCTGCCTCTGTGGGGGGCTCTGATTGGAGCGCAGACCCGTCCATGGAGGGGAGCAGAGAGGCCTTCCAGGGTTTGCAAAGAGCTCGTGCGTGGCTGGGCTGCCATCTGGGAGGGAGGAGTGTTTTCAGGAGGGGTGAGGGGACTTCGGGGTGTGCTACTGTGTGGGAAAGAGATCAGCCCGTTGGCGCTCCACCCTGCACCTTGCTGCCCCCGGGCAGAGGCTTGACCTTCTGAGTCGCGGTGTCCTCATCTGTGCATGTGCCTAACAATCGCGGTGACATCATGACCAGTGCCTGGCACCCGGTGGGAGTAGCTGAGCTGCGGGGAGGGGCGATCCTGGTGCTTGGCTTTCCTTCCTCCGCTGGGCTTTCGCGTGTTGGAGTAGCCAGTACAGGTCTCCTCGGGGTCGGGCTCCCATCAGGGTTGGAGAAACCTCCAGGGTTCTGGGAAGTCCACCATCAGGAACAACGCCAGAATGAGGGAGACACTTTTTTTTTTCTCTTTTAATTTTTATTTAAAATTGTGGGGTACAATTCAGGGCTAGGTACACAAATATTCACCGTGCAGGTACCCTGATCGATGAGGTGTGCTCCCCCTTCCCCAGGCAGATATCGACTACTGTCAATCCCACCTCC